TCTCTCTCTCTCTCTCTCTCTCTCTCTCTCTCTCTCTCTCTCTCTCTGTGTGTGTGTGTGTGTGTGTGTGTGTCTTCTAGGGAGTCTTCCTGAAAAAGTTGCCCTGCTGGACCGTGGAGGATGCTGGACCACATTGACAGTGTTCCTGCTCTGCCACTTAGCTGGCTTTGTCTCTTTGGGCAAGTTACTCAGCCTAATCTTTTCACCCCTTCAAAACAGGGATTGCAACGATGACAATACCTTGACTACACAGGGACTTCTGGTGGATTAATGGTCTGAAAGTGCTTGGTCTACAAGACGCACTATGCCTATGTGCTTTTACTGTGTGCCTTTGTAGCTCTCACAGGGAGATGTTTCAGGGCTCAGAAAAGCTCATGAATAGAAGGAAGTGGCAAGAACAAGGATGGGTACAGCTATCTTTTTACCATCGTGAACTTTCTGGTTCATCACCCATAATCTAAAGGCAGCTAAAACAGGAGCCCAGCAAGGCGCTGCTCCAGTGTTCAACAAGAAATGCGAAAATGCGCGCTCTGCATCCTCCTGTTTTTCTTCATTCCTCCCTAGCAAAACTAACGACTGGTAACCAGTGGGCGTCCTTCAGGGACAGTGGAAGACACTAAACTCACACATCTGCCTACACCGGAGGTGGCTCCAGAGCACCAAATCCCAAGCACACCCATGGTCTGTGCGCCCAGCTCCCCCCTCCCCCCATCCTTCAGACAAACTTAGCCAAAAGGGGAGCGGAATCGACAGACCACCCGAGACTAAACCTTACCCAAGGGACGAAGAGAAGAAAGTTGGTGGGCACCCGGTCCGGTATCCTGGTGAAATGCATCTCAAAGAGCACAGACACCTCAACCCCAGCACCTAGGTACCCTTTACATATGCGAGTCAACAAAGGGCTTCAAAAGGAGAGTTCAGGCTCGGGGAGCCAGGGTCGATGCAAACACTCACCTGGTCCCTACTCCACCTGCCACCCAGGGGAGCAGCAGAGGGAGCGCCAGGCCCCAGGGCGGCTGCATACTGGCTGGGGGTGGGATCCTTTCTTGTCCTGAGCCCCTCAGGACCTGGCACACAGAGGGGCCACCGCCTCTGTCTCTGCTTCGCTGGTTAGGACTTTGGTTTTGTGCACAGCTGGCAGTCTCTGTAGCAGCCGGTGCAGAGGGGACAGCGGGGGTGGAGAGCTGGGGAATGTTTGGAGCTGTGAGTGGCTGGGGGCGCCCTGGCGAGATATTCTGCTGGGTGAAGCGCTCGGGTGCACCAGCGAGGGCGTGGCGGCTGAGCACATCTGGCTGGGACCCGCCTCCAGGACGACCCACGAGTCCTCCACGCTCTTCTCTCACCCTAAACTCTTCCACGCCCCCCGCCCCCCCAGCTTCAATTCACTACAGGCTGTTCAGGGGCACCTCCAATTGTCATGCGTTTCAGTCTTGGGACAAGCAGTGTGCACTTTGAACTCCAGGGATTGAGAATTGAGAAGTCAAAGCAGGACCACAGATGCAAGTTCAAAAATCACACAGCAGTCTCATTTCCACGGAGAGTTCATACTTGGCTAGGTTTTTTTTCCACACAAGGCAAATCATAGGATGTTAGAGGTGGAAGGTCACCAAGTTTTGAACAATCCGCATCATTTGGCAAGTGTTGTCTTCCAGTCATTCACAACAGTTCAAATGTGACTCCAAATGAAATTATAGTGTAGTAGCCACTGGCAACTTGACACAAACAAGTCATCTGGAAGAATGAACCTTAATTGAGAAAATGCCTCCATCCAATAAACACTTCTTGGGGGATATTTTCTTGATTAATTGTTGATGTGGGAAGGTTCTGCCCACTATGAGCGGTGCCACCCTTATGCAGGTGGTCCTGGAAGGGATGAGAGAGGTACCTGAACACCGTTAAACAGTGTATCTGGATTACCTTTACCTCCAGGTTCCTGTCTTGAGTTCTTCCCTTGACTTTCTTTCTGGATGGGTCAGGATGAGTAAGCCAAAGGAACACCTTTTGTTCCCCTCAGATGCTTTTGGTCATGGGGTTTTTTATCACAACAGTAGAAAGCAAGCTAAGACAGTAAAAGCACAAACAAAAGATAAGTTTCTGAGAATTCCTTCAGGTAGTGATGAGTTATCTATTCTGACTTGTACCAGAAGGAATACTGGTTCTTCTTATCCCCATATTCACACCCTTTGACTTCAAGCAAGCAGAGCCGATGACCCCACACCTCGACTTTGGACTTGGTCCAGTGATTTGCTTTAGCTAATGGTGTTTGGGCATAGACATACTGTGCCAGTTCCAAACCCATTCTAACTCCAACCCACCTGTGCCTCTATCTGGGATATGAGAAGACCATGCCAGTTTGTTTGGTGGCCTGAGGAGGATGAGGAACCGGCTAAATACAGCTGCCTATCTGGCCCAAGAGTAGACTTCCTACTCAAAGAGGTGCTGGTGGAGCTATGAAGCCTCTGAACTAAGGTCAGCAGGGCAGACAAGCTACAGAGACTTATCAGAATAAAATCTTTTCTTGGTTTTAAAATGTTTTATTGATGGGGCTGGAGAGATGGTTCAGGGGTTAAGAGCAGTTGCTGCTCTTCCATAGGATGAGTGCAGACTGAACAAAGAATTCTACTTTCCACCTAAGTCTAACTAGGTGAACCTTTGAGTTTCCTGAGTTTCCTCAGGGAAGCATGGGGGAGCCAAAGCAATCATTGAAAAGTCCACTTTAGTGTGGGCGACAACTCTCAGAAGCTGCATCTCTGACCTTCCGGTTCAACTTGTAGGAGGCTTCACCAAAGAGAGCCTCTTCTTCCCAGCAATTGTACCTGTTTTGTTTTGTTTTGTTTTGTTTTGTTTTGAGACAGGCTCTCTCTATGTAATCCTGGCTATCCTGGAACTATGTAGACCACACTGTCCCCAAACTCAGAGATCTTAACTGCCTCTACTTGAGTGTAGAGTTTAAAGGTGCACACCACCACACCAGGCTTTGAGTACTCTTTTCTTTTATTATAGCCCTGGGGGGATTTGTGAATCTTATCACCTTCTGAGCTTGCAAAGGCTATATGTTCATAAGATTGATTTTGTTTTTCCAGTTTCTTTCCTCTGTTCAGGAGTGAATGGTTCAACTGAGAGGAAATATAACTACACATCAGGTTATGAACTCTATACCTAAAATATCTTAAAGGAAATATATATTTTATCTTGGTGTGGGTTTTGCCACAGTCAGACACTGGGACAAGGATTTGAGTGGAAATGCTTTGTTCTGGTGGCACTGGAGAAAACACTATGAGGTGTGCATCACGTCACTGGAGATTCCTCCTGGGAGAACACGTGTCTCCAAGGATCTTTTCCTGAAGTGAGGGAGCTGGAGTGGTTACACTCCATCCCCATTCAGCCATGGCCTGACAGTATCTACCAGGGGACTGATCTTGGGAGTTCTGCTTTCTGTGCAGAGAGCAGAGTGGCAGGGGCGACTCAGTCAGAGGACTGCAGATACTGACTATTGACGATCTGATTGGAAAAGTAAGGTGGGGGGGCATGAACAAGATGCCATATTACCTGTTTCCTAACCTAGAAATTCAATCAAACTGAAAATTCTGAGTGTTTGCTCCCAAACATACAGATACTGATTATCCACTCAGCATCCACTCCTTCAGAGACACACCTCTTCCAAAAGTCTGATTACATGAGTAACCTAAGAGGCAGGGCTCATCTGGCACTAATATTTAACTGTCAATTTCTAGTTTCTGACAATTAGATGTTCCTTCCTTCCTTTCAATTCCTTCCTTCCTTTAGTTTCTTTTCCAGAGTTAAGTAGTCTTCCACAGGTTAAGCAGAAGTGGGTGTCAGGATGTACATCTGAACAGAGAGCTTCCAGGGAAACAAAACACTTCTCAGCCAACCCACCTATTACTATTATTTCCTGGGAAAGCTTGGGCAAAGGAGCTATCAGACCATATGAGGATCAGAGAAGGCACTTGGGGATGAAGTATTGGCAGGTGAAATGTCAGATAGAAATTGTCACCTGGAGGCAAGTATTAACCTCATTGGCACTGCTGACTTTGAAGAGAAAGTTGGCAACTGATCTTTAGGAGGCTCTATTCCATTCTACAAAGGGAAAATGATCTTTGATCAGAGTACCATAAAATCACATGTGCCTTGTATAAGAATGTCTCTTTTAATTAGTTCTTATATATCTCTCCTTTGAGGAACAGGTGTGATGGAATATTTTTGTGTTTCCTGAATACACACACACACACACACACACACACACACACACACACACACACACAGAGTCCAGCCCAGTGTTTTCAAACTTCATTGTTGTTAGGTGGGGGTAAGGTCCAACATTTTTTTTATAAAGATCTTTTAAAAGACACTCAGGTTGTTTAATTTACTAGATGATCACATTTATGGTAGTGACAGTCTACAGATCATCTAGACTGGTAGTTAGAAAGCACAATGGCATCACACAGGAAGCTTTGCCACCACCGATAACTGGGACACACCTCCAAAGATTCTAATGCCTTGACTACGGCTTGGGTATAGAACTACTCAGAAAATCCCTGAGTGAGTCTAGTGAACAGCCAATGTTGAGTGCCATTGATATGACCCAGTGACCACATTTTATAGGTGAAACAATGTTAGTGCTCTTGTCTCTCTAGCACATAGTCTTTCCCCTCATACATCATGTTGTTTTCTTTCTTTTAATCACCATCATTCTGTGTGTGTCTGTGATGTGTGTGTTCGTGTTTGTGTGTATAGACATGTGTGTTCTATAGCACAAGTGTAGAAATTAGAGGACAGTCTTTTTGTTTGTTGTTTACTGATATGTATGCCATGCTAGCTGGTCTGGGAGTATGCAGAGAGTCTCTTGTGTCTGCCTCTCATCTTACTATAGGAGCCCTGAGATTATAGATGTGCACTATTATACCTAGATTTATGTGAATTCTGGTTACTTGAACCCAGGTCCCCTTGTTTGAGCAGCAAGTGCTTTACTCACTGAGACGTCTTCACAGCCCATGCTTCCCTGGAACTCACTTATGTAGACCAGGCTGGCCTTGAACTTGCCTTTGCCTTCCAAGTGCTGGAATTACAGAGATAGGTCTGAATTACAGAGATTCCTGGACTATTCATGATGCTTTCTAAATCTCCTTTCACCTTGAAGAACCCTTAAAATCTCTCTTTGGTTTTTCAAGACAGGGTTTCTTTGTGTAGCCTTGGGTGTTTTGGAACTCACTCTGTAGGCTAGGCTGGCCTCGAACTCAGAACTACCTCCCTTTGCCTCCCAAGTGCTGGGATTAAAGGCATGCTGCCCATCTTTTCATCTCTTCTTGTTGAGTGAGAGGAGTCAATGAAGAAATGTATGCCAATGGGAGCCTGCTTACCTCTGTCTTGGAACATTTACACCTTGTACATGTATTGGATTGGTTTCCTTCTTCTTGTGTTTGTGGTGGAAACCAGCTATCAATCACTTTGCATGCCTTCCCTTTCTTTCTTCTCTTTTCTCCCCCTTTACCTTTCATACTTTGCTTACTCAACTGTCTTTTAGGGTTCTCATTAAGTGTTAGACTGTGTGATAGGCAGTGGGGACCACTTAGTAGAAATGTCCACTGGATAATCCCTGTTTCTCCATTTCCATAGCGAAGTGAACTGGACCATTTAGCCTGTAGTTTATAGAATGTTTGGTCTTCTTCTTCTTCTTCTTCTTCTTCTTCTTCTTCTTCTTCTTCTTCTTCTTCTTCTTTTTTTTTTTTTTTAAAAAAAGCAATGATTATTACTTTCGGAGCAGAAGAAAATCTAAAGCAAGACAGAAAACAAAAAGAATGACACTTGAGTCAAGTTTCCTATCAAATTCCACTAGCTCTTAGAATGCTCCACTTGGTACATGAGGAAGAGGTGACTGATGCCTGTGCAGTGCTTGCTACATGATAGTTATTTTATTGAGAGTAGTGATTTGATGTTGACAACATCTACAGAAGGCAGGTATTACCACCTCAGTTTACAGGTGAGAAGTGTGAAGTGGAAGGTA